AGACAATGGAAAGTTTTGCAAAATTAACATGAATAATTTTCCATGACGGATATGAATTTTTTAAATGGAAAAGAAGTTAGCCCAGTTATCCAACATTAACTCTCGAAGAATGCACAAGGACGCTGCCATGTTGCATGTTGCTTGCCACAAATAATTACTAGCGCTCATAACCGGTTGTACATTTCGGGCGTTCGAGCGACCGACCCACGAACAACAAATCGAGCTGTTCGTGAACAAACGAGAACAAGCTAGCCGCCCGAACTCAGACAAAGTGAAAAATTCGGTTTTCGATAGCGTCCCCAGCGTTTATAAATCATTTCACTTACAAGCACGCCCTCTTTCGCTCCACTCGGAGCGGATATAGCATGTACTATGCAAGTACGGGGGGGGGTTAATTTCTTTTCCTAGGAAGGTTTAGTCAATGATCTTATGTAATCAAATATGCATTTGCCTTTCTCGAGCAGTGAAAATTCGCTTATTTTTTCTCTTCGTATAAATAAAATCAGAGTAGCTTTCACAAGAATGTACAATACATACATATGAAGCCAACGTTGAACTTAAGGTCAGGCTGATGGCTATTAGCTTGCAAAAGGTTTTTATAGCCAGATTCACGAACTTAAAAATCTGGTTCGCCGTGATATTATTCTGTCACGGCAATTCATTGCATAACCGAAAGTCCAGTTGATATTCGAATAATGTAGACTTCATTAGGACGTAATGGTGTCGATAAAAATCAGTTAGTATTTCAAAGATCGAAACTCGCTTCTAATGACGATGTTGCATGAAAAGGCTCAATATCTATTTTCAAAAACCTTTTGCACTTTTGGCTTTATAATGTGTGTCATTACAAACATTAAATTTATATATATATGGGTACATACATCTTCAGGAAAACCGCTACAAGAAAAAATTTCAGCAATTTATGTTGCACTCTGGGGGAGTGTTACTGTTGGGAACGCAACCTGTGCTGCGACGTCTCCATGCGAGACTACGGCATGCACAAGTATGGAACACTGGCTACGGCTCGTACCCCGTGCCTCTTGTGATCAAAATTCCAAGCCGTTGTCGCAGGAGACAGGACCGGAGTATGGCTACTCCCATGTTGTACATGTACAGTATAGTACGTTGACGCGACGTCTGGGAGAGTTGGGTTACAGTACCTGCATGGCTGGCTCGCTACGTGTATGCGTGATCGGGTACAGTCTGGTAAGACCATCTTACTAGGCCTACTATTAGGAGAAAATCCATGAAATTTCACCGGTCCCGTTACTGTTTAGAGATTTCAGCCATCTTTTTTCCCCTCACTGACCCTGTGCGGAAACACCCGCTGAAAAAAGTAATCATTTTCAAAAATTTCATTTCCCCCCCAAAAAGTTAGGCCTATTTCAAATCCTACCCCAGGACTGCTCAGGCTGTCAGGGTGGGGGGGGACGTCTGACCCCACAGTTCTGGGGGTATTCAAATCCCAAATCATAAAACATGTAAAGCAGCACTGTCACCTGGCACTTGTGGTACTGTGGAAGGGAGGTTCATATATGTTTCAACGATTTTTTGGTTTTCTTTTAACGTGATCTTGGAGAGGATGTCCTAAGAATTAAGAAGCTATAGGCCTAGGCCTATATGTACACATGTATGTAAGTTTGGATTCCATTGTCGGTCCCTGCAAAGCAAAGTAAAATTGATTTTAAGTCGGGATGTTTGGAGATGATTTTGGACATTTTTGTACATAGGCCCCATATATGTAAATACAGAGCAAACTGATTTTTTTCTAGGCTCTACACAAAAATGAATGTATGTGTTGATTTTCACTGGAAAGCTTAAAATCTGTATTTTGAAATATATAATTTCCTATATTATGAAATCTTTGTTCTTATTTGTGCCTTATTTCAAAGAGTTACATGTACCGGTAAATGTTGGCTTCACTTGAAATTTAAAAAAAATTGAAATTGGAAATTAGAACGTGAGGAAAAAGACAAATTTTAATCACAATTTCCTATTTTAAAAATATACGTTCCCCAACTGAACGGTGTCCTCACTCATGTATGCATGTACCTAAAATACATGTCCTTTTGCATGTCTTGGGTTGGCCAGCAATACATGTACATGTATATGCATATCATCATAAATGAAAAGGGGCCGTATAAAAAGAGCCTCATGTTTTTCCATACATGCCAAAATGTTCCAAATGCAAATCTAAAACTTTTGTTCTTATTGCCTTATGACTTGACTAGACTGTGTGGTTTGTCGTTCGCCACACTCCCATACGCACGTTTGTGGGAGCGGAGCGCATGATGACTGGGGCATTGGATATGCGAAGCTAAGGCTATAATAAGGAAGAACATGTAGGCCTACATGTAAGTCAGCAGTCTGAATAGGGGAAGTGTTCAGGCCGTACATGTACGTCGTGAGGACTCTAACTAGGCCTACCGGTATATTATAAGCCTACAGTTGACTCTCGACAGGGACCAGACAAATTACTTTGTTTTAAGGCATTAAGAATGAAAGTTTTAACTTTGCGTCAGGAACATTTTGGAAAAGCATGAGCACATTTTTTTTAGTAAGACGTAGTCTAGTGGCAGTGCGCGCTGTATACCCAGAGAAGTGCGTATGCATGTATCAGAGAATTCAATTATTTGTGTAGTAGGCAGGTATGCGGGGGTACCTAGTAGGTATGCGTCTTTTATACCCTTTCATTGCTGCTTGATGATTTGGAATTTGAAATGTTTCTTGATAGTCTTTTTGTGAAAATAAATAAAATTTTTTGTAAATGATAAATTTTTCGGTGGGGTGTTTTGGAGCATGCGGGCCGTGGACGCAAATCTATAACTTTCATTCTCATAGCCTAACCATGGTTTTGTTGAAATGGAGTGGATAAACAAAGAAAGACATAAGAATTCAAGCGAGTGGGATTCTCAGAATCTGTTCTGTATAACAGTATTTTGTAACGGTGTTCTTTATGATGAGAATCAACCTGTCATGGCCAGATGTTTTATAATGATGGCAATCTGTAGAGTATTAGCACTTGGACTACGCCTACATCATACCACGGAGGAAGTTAATGCCTTCCTCCATAATTATACAGTTACCTGAATGTATTGCCATGGTTTAGTAACTCCATCTCTTATCCCATGACCATATTGCTGTGGCTGTTTGGGATAACAGGAAACATGAGAATTGAGGGACGCGGGAAAAACACTTTGTCAAAAAAAAATTGAAAACTAAAAAGGAAAAGAAATCAACCAGTAATAGATGGGATGTTGCTTTGCTTGAAAAATTGTCAAAATTGACATCTTTGAACTGTTATTTTTTAATAAAAATGATATGAATGGTTAAATTGGTTCATTGCTGATGTGTACTTTGTCCCCTCCCCTCGGCCCCCTTGAAAAATCCTGGCAATACGTCAGGAAATTTTAATTTCCCAGCTCCTGGGGCTGGAGTTAATGTGTTTAAGCTACATGTAAATGTGAAAATGTATTGACGAATCTCCCCATGCCAGGAAGCTAGGCTAGAACTGATAAATGTACACATAGGCCTGAAAACTTAGCTCCACCATGTGCAGATCTACCCACATTTTCCAGGGGACAATTTTTATGGGGAGGGTACGAGGGTGGAAATTCTGTACAAGTAAAGTTACTTTACACTTAGTGGTCTGTCCCTGGGGTCAAGCTACATTGTAACTTTGGGAGGATTTGTACATGATTTGGGAAGGAAGCCCATTAGCCCAAAATGATGAATCACCTCTCTTTCATTATAGGCCCTGCTGGTTGTACTGTTTAAAAAAAAATAATGATAATTGGCTTCTTTTTCGGGGGGGGATGCGCTTATGGCCCTAGTTGGCCTTTTCTTGGAGCCACGAATGAGCTGTACTAGATCAGCAATTATTTCCCATCTATGCCACTTCGTGACAAATCCCCACCCCTGGAGCAGCCCCTTCCATGTCCTTGTGTATTGCGCCAACAGTAAAAAAATTATTTCCAAAAAGAGAAGAAAAAACCCACCCAGGGCTTGTATATCATACCAAACCTCCCACATAGGACCTCTAGGGCAGCCACAAGGGTAGGAGAAATAATGACACTGGCAGTGAAAGGGGAGCAGACCAGAGGGGCCACTGTCCCTCTTCCCACTTCTTTGACCGGGGTTATTGGCATTGGCCTCCCAGTTTTGGCAGATCCTTTCATCATGGCTGATGCTTAATGGTCTCACAAATATATCCGTCCCTGTCAAATAACGGTAAGATTTCCATAATATGGACATCACTAAGTTTCCCTAGCAGTTGTTAATCAGCCATTAGTAAGACGTATCTAGAAAAGTCAAATTAGCAGAGATAATATTTAAGCCTTTACATAAAAACAGTTTTAGACCAGTCTCATAGGATTTGTACGCAGGGTGTCAAATGACGTCCAGATGGAAGTCTTTCCGAAATACATGTATGTACATTAAATTGATACATGTAGGTGTTTCATGAAGTATCAACCTAATGCCCCTCCACAGTCGTGTCAAACCAAAAATAATTTGACAGTGTAACAGTGTATCATGGCACTTCGTCAGCTACGCGTAGATCCATTCAATTTGACAAATCAAATTCAACTTTATTACATTGGAAGTACCCCCCAGCTCCAAAAACCAGCTCTGAACCAAGCTCTAGGATTTGCGACGGTGGAAATACGAATTTCTCCAGTATTTTTGGAGTCATGGAAAGTTGAAACACTCAGCTTTTGTCCTTTGTTTAACACTGAACAGAAATGCTGAGTGCAAGATCTACATGTATAGTCCGCATGATCATTGCAATTTGGGCCAATCTATAAATTAGGGTCCAATTTTTTGTGTCACTGCCACATCTGACATTATTTTGTTATTCAGAACACATTCTCTAATTTCTGAGAGTAATGAATTGATGCAAATTACCTGCCAAACAAATAGAAATACTTTGAAATCAATTTCCATGTATGAAATCAATTTCCATATTTCCATGTCAAATTACACAGGTCAGGTGTAACAGGGACATAAAATTGTCACTTTTGGACCCCAAATTTATAGAATTACCCGTTGCCAGTTTAAAAGCCCTAATGAAGAGTTACAGGTACATTATTCGTTTGTGTTTTCATAACAATCCCTCTTCCAAATGGTTTATGGAGTTTTTATCACCCAATCTCACTTTTGTAACTTATTGACTGATCAATTAAGGAGATATTCTCTGATTTAGCCAGGCTAACACTTAGCCCAGAAGTGATATACCTGTACAGTATGAGGCGGTCCAAAGTTCATCCATGGTCATTGATAACTGGTACGGGTCTGTGTTGTGCAGCCAGATTCAGTGCCTATGAGGTTCTGTAACTCTAAACACACCATTCCCCAAACTGAGTGTGCACTGCATTGAACTGGTTTTGGCTGGTTTGTAAAATTCCCAATATGGGCAATATTGTACAAGTAGCAGGTTTTGAATTGCAAGACGAGGTACCGTGCAGGTGCATGCAGATGATGCAGTGCAGGTAAAGTTATGGTATCTTTAACCAATTGTACATTTACAAAACTGTTGGAAGATATTTTGCACACATTTCTTTCGAGTGTTAAATTTTCCCTTCACTGATAACTGTAAGATTAATGAAGACACAGTATATGTACACACATGCGTATAGAAGCAACTATTGTAGTATACTGTATATGTACAGTCATATCTTGAAGGTCTTCTTTGTGTCTGTAATGATCAAAGCTTGCTGAAAGTGCTGTTAATGTGTTTCAAAACAGGATTCAGTTATGAAACTTCAAAATGCTTCAATTTTATTTGTATTATTCTTGACATGTACATGTACAGGTAGTGAGATATTGGACGTTGTTATACATGTTGTTTCTGTGCTGCATGAAGAGTACGCAATATTGGCTGGACCACAAAGTGGACTTGTACATGTTACTCCTCTTTCCCTTGCATACTTCACCGTTTTCATGAAAAGACGAATTTTTCCAAAAATCACCACTTTTCAAATTCCATTTATTTTTTTGGCCAAATCAACTACTCCATCATATGCCAAGGTCTTGGTGACAGCACGTACCATTTCATTATACGCTTCGCTACATGTTGTTTATGAGTTTTCACGAAGGGACAAATTAATTGTAGGTTAAAACATGCAACTACTGAAGATAATCCATGCAAAATGGGTCAACTTCAGATGTCATTTTCTTGAAAGTTTACTTTTTATGCAGCATGGAGAAATTTGCCTCTTTGTGAAAATTGTGGTCGATATATTGCAACTGTTCCGGCTGCAGGCACTTAATTCTGCATTTCTACATGTATGTATGGTGTACATATGTACTGTACATGTACACACACACATTGTGTTTGTGAATGGCTTGAGCACCAGTATAGTGTATTGTGTAAATATACTTATCATGTACCTGCACATGTATAGTGAATTTCACAAAAGTTATGATAAAAACAATTATCTTCGGGCAAAGTTGAATTCTCAACATTCGCAACAAACAGTGTGATATATATAAAACGTTTCATATCAAACCTTGCGTAAAGCACTGTTCTAACTTAACGCATTGTGCTATATTAACGCTAAAAGCAAGCGCACATCTGCATGACTGTATATTCAAAAGTGGCGCGTTCAAGTTGCCGGTGCTGACCATCACATGTGTTTAAATGCAAGTACAATTCTATAGTATTAAGTTCTTTCTTTGTGTAATTAAGCCCTGTTGTTATTATTGTTATTGAAATGAGTCAAAACAGAAATAATTCCCATGCTCTCTAGATAAAATGGCAGAATTGTGGTACATCTGTGTTACTGTTTTTGTTGTGCGTCGTATGATACCTCTATCTTTTGTCTTCTTTTTTCCTGTAAGGCACACATACCAGCAGGCCCCTTTACTTTCTTTACTGCGTGTCAAGTTTGCTTGAAGATAAATTGGTTATGCTCGCACTCAAGGAACAACGAATAATGTAATGTGTCTGTGTCCCGTATGCAACAAGGCTGGTTTTCCAGTTGTTTTAAGCTTAAAGCACAGAGAATATAGTACATGTATTCTCAACCAGTTTTATTGATTGCTGTAATGAATTTCATATATTATTTATTGCTGACGTATGTAGATGTGCATGCATACTGCAACTGAAGCTCAGGCTGTTATTGAAGAAATGAAAGTCACTCCGATGAAACGTTACAAACAAGAAATGCTGATTTTCAGCATTTATCTATGTGTATACATGTACAGCATGGTCCCCTTGTAGCCAACTCGTAGACATCACGGTTGTGGCTAGAAATAATTGATTAATTGTAAACACAAAGGATTTTAAATTTCTTGAATTTCAGATGTGAAAAATCTGAGCTATTCACTGTAATTCATGTTTTATTTCTTCTTCCCTTTGCCTTGGTCAAATTCTAGTTTGATGTGACAAGGTTGTTACCTTGTAGGCAGGACTGACAGTCAGAGGTAGTCTCCAATCAGCACTCTAGCAGGATGTGGCGATCTTTGGTCAGGGCATCCACTTTCTTCAGGCCGCGGCAGCAGGCAGCCGTGGCAGCAGCCAGGCCACTGGTGACCAGCTGCGCTTGCTGCAGCCAGAAAGCCGAGAGCGGCGTCCCGTATGAGACATTGGAGAGTACCGACAAAAGCCGACCGGACTCGGTGCCAGCCCAGGCTGACGTGGTGGTCATTGGGGGTGGGTCCATCGGCTGCAGCACCCTCTACCATCTGGCCCACCTGGGGGTGACCAACGCAGTCTTGGTGGAACGGGACCAGTTGACTTCGGGCACCACATGGCATACCGGAGGTTGGTTACATGTTTGTGTCGTGTCCAAATCAAAGAGCTACAGCTGGTAATGCATGCGCCTACATCAGGAATTGCTGCAGCCACTGACTGGCGCATTCCATAGACACACATGCCATTTCCAACTACAACCACAACATTTTGACAATGCTATGCATTTCTGAGGATGGGTGCGTACACTGCGTACAACCCTATTCAAATAGACGTACATGTAGTTTCCACATGGTCATACTTTATGCCGATAACACATCAAGACGCAGACTGTCATGGAAGAGATGCTGCAGGACGTTACTCCACCAAAAAGTTTTAAACAAAATGGCATCCGAAACTCAGAAATTTTTGCATAACATGCCTGTTTAGTTGGCAATACCATCTCTTAAATCTAAACTGATATGTCAGTTTGATATATTTTGGCTGTGGTCAGCTATTTGTTGACAATTGGGTATCATATGTTAGTATTAAGGACAAAATTGGGTGAAATAAGCAGCACTAAGTGAGAGGGACATTGTTGTACGCCATTCATGCCAGCATGCGTGTTTGTACTCTGGCAATTCAACACAGACAGTCGGCAAAGTGGATATAGTTCAAGTTTGCTGACTGGCACCGTCCCTGTATACGTCAGTTATGATGGAGTGTTTCCATATACATGTACCAGTAATTGCTTATCGTTAGGAAATAGTCGATGATGCTCTCTGTCTCTCTTACATGTGTGTCAATATAGAAACCAGGCTTTACAGTAATATCCAACTTTGCTAACAGCGTTGCACTCTGAGATGCAATAAAGATTATTATTATTACTGGTTTATTGCCAGTTACATGTACTTGCAACCCTAAGGTTGAATAGCAAAGTGGTACATCAAAACACATTAAAAATCACAAAAAATGCATATAAGAAATATTACAATAGACAATAAAATAATGAAAACATCAAAACCATAAACAATACACATAACTTCTAATATAATAAAGCATTGGGATCATGCAATATGCATTAAGACACTTTACTTTAATAGACATTGCATGTACTAAGACACCAAAGGAAAAATAGTCATCAAAAGATGTGAAAAAAGACCACATAGGAATAGTTCCAAATCAAAATGTATAAAGATTTCTACTTTTTTAAAAATCTCATTGAAATACAGACTTGTACATGTACTGTGAACTACATGACCTATGATTGGCAGAAAACTAGTTCAGTCAGCTGGCGTAACTCCAGTGTACATCACACCAAGTAATATTGAGGCTGTTTTTTCCAATTCACTACATGACAAAATCCATTATTGGAGTTTGTTCCATTTTCTTGTATTCAGCTTGCTTTGCAGTTCTTCTGTATTCGTTTGTGTAAAGGTTGATTTTTTGGGGGGCAATGCCTGAATGAATACGTAAGCTTATGGTTAAGTTCTCACATGTATTTTGGCCTAACGCACTTCAAGGCCGAAGCTCAAAAATGAATGTTCCAGTAAGTAATGCAGGGAGTTAATCGGACAGGAATTTTCAGAATGATAAGGTCAGGTGATACATGTATTTGTACATGGATACTTGTAAATACTTGGAATTTATTCTGGCATTTTTCAAACAAGTTATGAAAGACTCGCATCCACACAAATGGGAAGAATATCATTCAGCGACAGAGAGAATGTTCCGTTGCCCTTACATGTTTGTCCCCTGGTCCCTGTGGTTGTCTGTCTCAGGCTTGGTCTGGAATCTGAGGCCCTCGGACGTGGAGGTGCAGCTACTGATGTACATGGCTCATCTCGTCCGCACAGTGCTGGAAGCGGAGACTGGTGTGGTGCCAGGCTGGGTGGAGAATGGTGGCCTCTTTATCGCCAACAACAAGGAACGTCTAGATGAGTACAAGCGACTAGCCACTGTGAGTGCTAGTAGTCTAGGGGCCAACTCCAATTCTTGGAGTTGCTAGACTCTGAAATTTACCAAGCACGGAAGAAATTAATGCTTAGCAAACAGCTCAATAGTCAAACTGGTTCCTTTTATCTGGAGTTTGGCTGATTTTACTTAGATCGTGTAAATATGTCTCTTGACAAATTCATAGGTTTTTTTTGGGCTGCTCGACAAAACTGGCTTTAGGGATGCATCACTACCTTTCAGCAGATTAGGGGCAAGAATGATTTGGCAAAAAGTTGTCAGATGTCCTTGTGTTTTGTTTGCATCCTTGAATGACTCAGTGTGTAAATCCTAGAAATCCTCGGGGAATATTAACCAACAAGGCATACTGTACATGGAGCTTAAGTGTATGTCTGTCAAAGCTGAATGTTCGGTATAACAGCATTTGTTATACCAGTCCGGTATGTTGTTATTTTTTTCTGAACTGAAAAATAGGTTGCAGTTGATTAGAGCTACGGTAACCTTGCTGAGCACTTCATTCTGTTTTGCTCTTTTAAAGGTTGATCTGAAATACCATGATTGCATTCTTCCTTCTCTCTTGTCACCCTCACCAATAGCTGGGCAAGGTGTATGGTATCGAGTCCTTTGTCCTGTCACCTGACGAAACCAAAAAGCTCTTCCCGCTGATGAACACATCCGACATCTACGGCACTCTGTACTCGCCCTCTGATGGTAGCATTGACCCTGCCGGTTTCTGCTCTGCACTGACTCGGGGTGCCACTAAACTTGGGGCCAAAGTAAGTCCAACATATTTTTCATCTCGTTATCTGCTTTGAGCAGAAGCATCCCCTCATCGGTTAAAAAGAGCCATGGTGGTTGGAAGTATTTATTTTGCTGGTAGTGATGCAACCATAATGCGTGCATTTCACAGTCGTTTGTGAATCAGCAAAAATCAGTGAAATCAGGAAAATTACACCCTCTCTTGGTCCAGCTCTGGACAGATAGCTTTAAAAGGTTGAATGGATGCCCCATGGACTCGCATGTATGACAAATTGAAACATTATGGAAATTTACATTTACATGTTGATGGAAATTTACATTTACATGTTGATTCACCACTGGTATCTAACAGCCACAGACAGATCAGCTTTTGCCCGAGCCTCCCCGAAAATCCCACTCACCACCCCTTACCCTCCCACCCTGCTTCCACCCCCCCTCTCCGTCCCACCCCTGCTTCCACCCACACCTTTCCCCCCCACACCTTTCCCTCCCACCCCTGCTTCCATCCACCCCTCCCCCATTAATCCCCTTAAACCCCCTCCCCCACCACTACCACTGAACACTGCGAGCCAGCCAGTAATTCCTGAGACTATTTCAGGGTATGGGATTAATTTGAAACTGCTGTTCTTTGCCATGGGTGCTGACCATAACAGCAGTGGTAAGAATGGTTATACACAAAGAAATCAAGTTTGAACACACTTGAATGGGCTTCCCCAGAATGTCAGGTTGTTCAGGAGGTGGGTATTGTCACTGGCTAAACCCCAGATTAAAAATGAGTGTACGGGCTCCAAATGGGTGGATTGAAAGAGGATTTGTATGGAGTCTTACCCATATTGGCCTTATAACATATTACTAATGGAAAAACAAAACAGAAATTTTGTATGTTAAATGCAGAACCATTCCAGAGTTAAAATTGGTGAAGGATCTATTGCAACTTTCTTCAATATAAACTGTTGCTGCTCCTGCTTTTGTTGTCAGGTGTTGACCAACTGTCCAGTCACAGGGATACAGGTAGGCGAGGATGAGTACGGGGTGAAGCGGGTCAAGGGCGTTGAGACTGTGTCGGGGACCATCAAAACATCCAATGTGGTCAACGCTTGTGGTAAATTGCTGGGGCAGATTACAGTAACGGGTCTTATATTGTGTATGCATTTTAGCCTGCCTTGAAGAGTTTGCTGTTAGCTGATCGTATTTAAAGTTTGGATGGAGAAAACAAGGCTCAAAAGAGACTGATATGTACATGTGGTACTGTTTGTTTTTTCTCCTTTATTTAAATTTAAAATGTGTATTTCAACAGTCAAAAGTGTATTTGTGTATGTGCATGAATGTATGGGTGTACATGTTGATCTATTCAGTTGGCCAGTGTGTGTGAGTTGTCCATTCTTGCAGCTGACACTCCACCAGCCGGGACTACTTTTTTTTCAAGGCTCATCCCTGCCAGCTGTGATATACTCTCTCAGTTTACCTTTGACTGTGACTGTGGTAATATTTTTGTGTGTGCACTCTGTGACCTGCAGGAGTCTGGTCACCGTACATTGGTCAGATGGCTGGGGTATCTGTCCCCCTTACTGCCATGCATCATCACTATGTGGTGTCGGAGAGAATCGAGGGAATCCATGGCATGCCCAATGTGCGTGATCATGATGCCTCTGTCTACCTTAAAGTTCAGGGGGATGGGCTTGCCTTCGGGGGCTATGAACCAAACCCGATCTTCTGGAAGCAGGTGAGTGGAAAGTAATGGATTCATGCTTAGCTACCTCACACAGAGTGACATGTAAATATCTTAGGATTTCCTGTGCTGTTGCACGAACGATGCTTAAGTAGGTCCTTGTTATTTCTGTATGCAGTGCTGGGTGATGTCGGTACTCGTCCCCATGCATAAGGGATTCCCATTGAGTTAGTATGCACGCAGAGGCTGAAACTAGTCCATGGAGGTTAAGCATTAATTCTGTTTAGCCCTCAAGTGGCCAAGGGCGAAGACAGGACATTGCAACAATTGTCATTCCGCAACAATTTAAAAAAATTTAAAATTCAAGAAATTGATAATGGAGAGAGAAATGTTGCACAAATTATCTTGAACAAATTACCACCAAGGATGAACATTTGTTAAAGTCCATCTTTGTTGGTGACACTTGTGCTGTCTTGTTCGAAAAGTTGGTATTTTTGGCTGAAAATAGCATGACACCTTGGACAAATTTAATACAGTGAGCAGGTGGTCAAAGTCCTCTGCATACTGGGTACCTGACATAAGATGACTATGTCTGTTCAAAACAAGTATATTTTCAATTGTAAAAACAACAGCCAAAAATTAATTGAGATGAGATGGGAACCTGTAACTTCAAAAATGCTGGACTTGTGTTTCACCGACTGAGCCAGCAAGACCTATACTGATGACTTCTCGGGTTTCGTGTTTTTCCAATGTCATTTTTTTTGAGCAATGCCTGACCTTTAGCACCCAAGGAAGTTGGCTGACCTCTTATGCAAATGCCACAGGTTTAAATACCACATCTAATCATTTCACTTTATTCCAACAAAACTGATTATTATTATTTTATTATTTATGGTCTATTAACCAAACTCTTGCTGCCAAAGGCTAAATTTCAGTTTGATTTACAATTATTACATTAAAACAATAAACGTTACAAGGAATACGTTGTACTGACTGATTCAAAGTGAAATGTGTCAGGTTTCTGCCTGGTGTATGAGGTGCTTTGGAAAAACAGTGTTTATTCTTGCACTTCATTTTAGGACATGGGGACTTGTTCCGAAGAAATGTTTGCTGTCCATAGATAGAACAGCAAGCTCATTTCCACAATTTGTTTGCTTGTTGTGTTGACAGGTTAAGAACGACTTTGCTTTTTCCTTGTTTGAGTTGGACTGGGACGTCTTTGGTTTCAACATTGACGGTTGTGTGAATCGCATACCTGCGCTGGAAACCACAGGCATCAAATCGACGGTCTGTGGACCGGGTAAGACTGAGACTCCTAAGTTATGTGCCTGAACATTTTGCAGGATGGCCGGATGCAGTGAAAACAGTATTATCTCCTTACAGGAATGAGAGCCGACGCCATAAGTAGAGATGGCGTCTCCTTGTGACACTCAGCTCTGCTTGCATGGAGCATGGAGTTTGCTTTAGATATATTCTGTTATCATGATGGTGCTATATTTGTCTTGGTTCTTTTAGACCCATTGGCAATAGAAATACAACTTCACATATTGATACAAGGAAACAGACTATTTTCTCTTCCAGCCTCATTTTGGTTACACTAGGTTGAAGATTAGAAGAGCAAGATGAGGGTCCCATGGTAGAGGTCTATTACTGTGGCAAGCAGTTGTTTGATATTGGTCCTTGTGCTTAATGTGGTTAACAGATCGCTAGCACATCCATCATTTGGGGATTCTTCGTGTAAATTCTTGCAAAGCTACCCTGTATAATGTGGCCTTCGATATGGCACAGACCCGAAGAACATGCATTTCACAAGAATCGGTGACATGCTGAGCTTGTCCAATGCCAAATGGACATAAACTTGGGCATGCAGATTGTGAGGTCCCTGCAGTTGGACCTTATTGCTGTGTAAAACATGTTGTCTTTTGTTCCTGCACGGAGCAGATTGATGTGTAATAGGTGCTGGGATTAGCATCATATTCAGTTGGATCACGTGGCATTGGAGTTACCAAGAGTACTTGAATACAATCAGTAATTTGCTTTTTACTTCTTGGGCTGCCTGGCAGAGTCCTTCACTCCAGACCACAAGCCTCTGATGGGAGAATCTCCCGAGGTCAGGGGGTTCTACCTGAACTGTGCAATGAACAGCTCCGGCCTGATGCTGGGAGGTGGCACAGGCAAGCAAATGGCCCACTGGATTGTGGACGGCAGGCCAGAGCTGGACATGTATGGCTATGACATCAGGTTAGAAGATTGACTTTGGTGAAACAGTACACTATGTAAAGGCCGTGAACTACCAGCAAGTGCTGTCAACCCATGTAACCGCAATGTATTCGTCCCTGTGTGTTTTTGTAGTTGTTAAAAGTTTTAGGCCTTTTCTCCCTCCATGGTTTTGTTTCATTTTAGTTCAGTTTTTGTTTTTTAATTCTATTGTCATGATCATTGTTACTATTGTTGAATTGCTGGCATTGTTTGGAGGAATTTGGTTTATAAGCAACAGTGCTGCAGCTATTCTTGTGTGAGCACTTCTCAATATCATCATCGGTGGAAGAATTCCGTTCTTTGAAGTTTGTTAAACCTCTTGTCTTCTGCAGACGATTTGACCCCAAGGTGAGCCGCAACTTGGCCTGGGTGGATGAGCGTAGCCAGGAAGCCTACGCCAAGAACTACTCCACTGTGTTCCCCCATGATGAACCTCTGGCTGGTAGATTGATGAGGAAAGATGCTTTGCACAAGGTACAGGATTCAGAAGAGTGCAATCATAAATAATGGGGATATGGGCCGATAAGCAGTCATCAGCATCTTTTATTGTTCATTTCACCATAGGGTCCCATCCTGTCGGCTTTGGACTCTTTGAATTTACAGGATTTAATCATACATACGTATGTACAGCAGACAGCATGTTCTTATCCCCACTATTGGCTATCTATATCATGAAAACGTCTGTCCCAAGCTATCGTGGCTTATCAGGCCGGTCTTTGTCTCTGGTGTTCTTGGCATGAAACTGTTGAGAATATTTTTGTACTCCCCTGGATGGGATGTCCATCCATTGCAGGTGGCTCTCCAGCTCATGGTGATACCCAATTATTCTCCTGGGTAGAATGAGGCAAGCAGGTGTGAAGTGACTCACTCAAAGCCACAGTTTATTGACAGCAGTTGGACCCTGACCCTTTTATCATGAGTTACAAGCCCTTAAACCACTCAGCCACACTCCCCCTTTACCTGTGATGACTTTGGCATCAGTGCTAATGACGACCGTGGCTCAGTAAATTCACGAGCCCACATACCTTTTTCTTACTGAAACTCGCCGTGCCCCTTGCGCACAGACTCGCCCATTACCCTTCCTTTTATTTGTACCGCAGGTCCTTGAAGATGCGGGATGTGTTTACCAAGAGAGGCTTGGGTGGGAGAGGCCAGGCTGGTTTGCTACAGATGGACCTGCTCCGGTAATCACTGTCCATCTGCATAATTACAAATGCCCTTCCATGAACAGCAGTAACAGTGACGTGCAAATATATCAGAATAGCAGATCTGTACTGGTTATATCGCTATGAAACAGATGCACAACCCCCAATGGATTCCAATAGTCAAAATAATAAATTTTTTGAAATGCTTGTTGGATTCAATGTTACAAAAAATGTTCGTTACTTTTTTCAGTTACCGTGTTACCTAACCTCTTTTACTTATGAAAACGTATATTTTTTAAATTCTGAAATAAAATATTGTTTAAAAAAGCATTAATTAACCACTGTATTTTATAGAGATTATCAAATTGAAGTTGGGCAGTTTTGTGACCCATTGCTGTTCCATTCACATGTAAACTTGCAGATCAGAGTCATTCTATAAATTAGGGGTCCAATCTTTTGGACATTTTAAATATGACTTTATAAATTCAGAACACATTCTCTAATTTCCAAGAGTGATGAAATAATGCAAATTACCTGCCAAACATATAAAAAATGGTTTGATATTAATTTCAGTGATATTTTGACATAAAATTACACAGGTCAGGTGTAACAGGGACACACAAATTTCACACTTTTGGACCCTGATTTTATAGAATGACCCATTACATGATTTGCTCCACCAGGTTTTGAAGTATGACTATTATGGCTACTATGACCACCCTAAGCACGAGAACTACCGCTACAAGCAGTTGCTTGGCGACGATTACACCTTTGACTTCCCCAAGCACCACAACATTGTAAGTGTTTGTCATTGATTTTCTGGTAGTCAGCTGCAGGAGAATATGCTGACATTAAAGGAGCCATGTGGTGAAAGTCCAGATGAGGGCTAATGGAAGAAATGTTACTGCATCATTCAATAGAGGCTTTGCGTGGTAGCCATCTGGCAGGGCAGTTCATTGTTCCACGGGGAACCGTCCTTTGTGCATACTCCATGGAACAAAATCACAGGCCTGCAAGATAACGGCCATGCAAACCTTCTGTTTGCAATTTTCTGGGTTACTTGAGGTGCTGTTCTGTGCTGTGTCAGCCTCAACAAAGCCAGTGTGGATTTTTCACTGGAGGGGGGTACCTGATTGGTTTATATTTCGCAGATTGAGAAGGAGTGTATGACGTGCAGGGAAAGCGTTGCCATCTTCAACATGTCCTACTTTGGCAAGATGTACGTGACGGGGCCGGATGCGCAGAAAGCAATGGACTGGATTTTCACCAACAATATGTCCAAGCCAGCTGGTAAGGCACAGGGAGTTGTTCTGTGGGTTTTACTGAAACTAGTTACCTGTTCTTATTGCAATAAGGTGGTTTATTACAGAGCCAACATTTCTTTGAAAGGGCTGTTAAACTTGCTTTGTATTCCAGGGTCTGTTGTCTACACCTGTGCCCTAAATAAGGCTGGGGGCGTTGAATGCGACCTGACTGTGTCCATGATTGAGAGTGGCACGGGCTCTGCTCTCGACCCAGCCTTTGATGGGCGGGGCTTCTATGTAGCAGCAGGAGGGGGCGTGGCCCAGCATGTCAAGACACACATGAAAACCATCATGGAGGACGAGCAGTTTGACTGCAGCATTCTGGACCACTCTGAAGACATGGGTGTTTTGAGCATACAGGGTCCCAAAAGGCATGTGTCTGAAGACTTCTCACCTTAATTTGACACTCCAGAAATGGATCTAGAACCTTGTATTCATGGCTCTGCTAGATGTACATGTGATCAAAGAATCCCTGCCCTCTATAGCAAAAAGTGCTACACTAGTAGTGAGGCCATTTCGTAGGTCAGCAAGGACGTTTGGCTGCATCTGAATCTGTTGTTTAGAGCTAGGTCTTCACTCCATTGAAAGTATGTGGAAACGCATAGACAGTATACATAGCCATAGCTCTGGAAGCCTGTTTCGGACACAGCCTTTGTCTTGCACATGTGTACATTACTGTCTCCAGGCCCTAGCCTGGACGTTACCTTCAGCTCAGTGCATTTATCATCCCCAAGCCCATCTCCTGTTTCAAATGTACTATTTTAACCCCCCACAAACTTTTGTCTCTTAGTAAGCTGTATCGGAGGTTTTCCTCAACAGTGTCAATTTTCAGAAACCATTTCTTGCACATTCTGTTAGGAACCTACAAGGTAGCCCACAGTGTTTTATCTAGCCAAAAGTTAGGGCGTAAACAAGAGATCGGATTTCTGTTACGTTTTTGGTCGTTTTTGTTGTTATCAGTCGAGAGCTTCTGCAGTCACTCACCTCGGCGGATCTCAGCGACAAGGCCTTCCCCTTCTATACCCACCAAGTGATTGACATAGCTGGGCACAAAGCTCGGGCCCTCCGGCTGTCCTTCGTGGGGGAGCTGGGATGGGAGATGCATTTCAGTAATGAGGCGGCAGTCGCCATCCACCAGGCCATTATGGAGGCGGGGGCCAAGTTCGGTATTGTGAATGGAGGGTACCGGGCGCTGGACTCGCTGAGTTTAGAGAAAGGTGGGATGGCCAATGAAATGCCTTGTCTAGATGGAGTTTGAGTTTGGCAAGTTAGGGATTGTTGGATTGAGTAGGGTTGGGCTGGCTTAGGTTCATTTGGGTTGGGTTGGTATGGGTTGGGTTGATTTGGGTTGGGTTGGTATGGGTTGGGTTGGGCTGGCTTAGGTTCATTTGGGT